GAGAGAGGAGTATAAGTGTCGTGCCAATAGAATCCGTCCGTCCGTCCGTAATCTCTGTCCACACCCCTGGGTGACAGGTGTGAAAGTCTATATTATTTAATTTTTGGGGTATTCATTTTTACCCTCATATACATAGTTTTGTGGATTTTGTTGGATAGCGCAAATTTGTTAGTCTTTTGTTCTTTAAAAACGTCCTCCACTCTAAGAATCTGCTATCGATGTAAGTAAGCTACTGTGAAATTATAGTTTGCAGCATGGTTTAAGGCGTTTTTACTTCCACTGGTACTCGCGAATTGCTTCTTTGGTACCGACTTGAGTTGCTTCCCACGGCTCATTTCGCAGACAGAAATTTTCACAACGAAAGCAACGAAACCAAACCCGAACAGTGCGTTCATTGCATTGACGTTACATATTTTTTATGTCATATGACTTATGACGGAATTTGTATTTATAGATTACTCGAACTTTTGTCTTCATGTCTTCATTCAATAATGATTGCAAATGAAAACAACAGTTGAACACTCTCGTATCTATCTATCTATCTCGTATTATAATATCTTTAAAATAAAAATGTTCAACATTCGAAAAGTTTACCAGAAAGTAATTTATGTCAAAGTGACCACCAGCACAACAATAATTGTCATATTAAAACATCTATTTTCATAAGTCCTAACATGATACGAGTACGTCATTTTTGACCAAGTATTTCTTCAATGATATTGTAACCTTTTAACGTATAATATCATTGTCTTTCTTACGGTATTTTTAATAATTATTATATTGTATTTTTACTAATCTAGTCTGAAATCAATATTTTAGCGGTAAAAAGTTGTTCAGTATTTATTGAATTACATATTTTTTATAATTACTAATTTAATAATATTACACTACATTTACAAATAATTATAATCAAAAAAGCAAAGAAATTAGAAGATACTTGTTGAATATCTAAGTAAAAAGTATGTTTGTAGATATACATACATACATACATACACACACACACACACAATACATATATATATATATATATATATATATATATATATATATATATATATATATATATATATATGTGTGTGTGTGTGTGTGTTATTCCATATAAACGATTTTCCATTCGCATTGAAGAAATGGCCACCGGTAATACTTGTATATACTTATTACCACATTATATTATATTATACCTGCTATATAATTTTAAATTGTGCTTAATTACAAAATAAATTATTTACACGTTATTACTAACTTTATACAAAACACACCGAATTTTAAAAGTTCTCCTTTGCGGTTTAATTTTCGCTAATAGTAAATATACTCGATTAGATAAAATTCCAAAGCGTATTGGACGTTGTATTTACAGACATAAATTATCAATAATATCAGAGATCTAGAGGTATCTCATATACCTAACTCGTATTAGCAAAAAAGTTGTATAAATGCATGAGGCATAACCATTTTTAATGTCAGTCGAGGTCACGAAGCGACTGGCTTGCAGAAAAAACGGTGCCTAACACGCTAAGAAGTAGACAGCCTACAAAAAATAATTCCGTAAGGTTGCCGGGCGGTGCAACGTTTGAACTGTAGCGTCTATTTTTGAATTCCGCGACTGGACTATCACACACACTGAACGCATTGTTTTTTTTAGTGTCTAGGTTTTTTTTATATAAAAATAATTAGTGAGCAGATGCATATGTGTGCCGCATTTGTGCATACGTAGACAGTCGAATTATCAACCGTGCGTGTGGTAGACATTAAATATTAATGTCTGTGTGCGATTGCTTAGACTTATAATTATAATTTATATGCAAGTACCATTTTGAAAATTAGTTAAATAATATTTTGTACTTAGATTGCGTAAAAAATACTAAAAGGGAGAAAATACATAAATATGTCAATTCAATAGCTTTGTTTTTTTTTATAAGATAGGGTGATAAATGAGCACATAGTCCACCTGATGGTAAGTGATCGCTGTGGCGCATAGACATCTACGTTTATCTTCAAAGAGGACTAAGATGGAACGCCTCGTTTCCAGTAAAAAGTAGCTCCAGTTCTCTACACTCGCCATACGAAACACAACAGCATTAAACTGCCATTTTTTGCCACGCTGGTATTCTATGAGAGCGTGGTCCTTCCCCGGTCGAGGCGATATGCTACCACCGTAATACAGCTGCAGCGTGGCTGTACGATGTCAAAATATCAGACGTCTCGTGCTTTTGGTGCTACTGTGTTGTTTTTTACAAATGATAACGCATTTTAATATATAATAACGTGTTTTCGCTTTAAGTTTTGTTTAAACCACAAGTATGCATACACCGTATAGTGGTGGTGTAAGAGGATTCAATAACCTATAAGCCCTACGTCGTCTCGTTGGGTGAACCGGGGGATGAGCAAAGGCAACTTCAACATAACTCAAAATTAATAATAATAAACCGTGGTTACGAACCGCGCGTGGCGTCTTATAGTTTTACGTATATTTAGTTTTTATTTTATAACACAACCTGACATATATCCAACCCTATATATAACGCAGCTACAGTGAACATCCGCCCAATGTGGTAATATGTTCAACAGTGCCTTATTTACTGTCTACTTTAATAAGTTGTTTCATATGTGGTAGAGCCACGCTGCAGCTATATTATGGTTGAAGTACAAATGGGTCAGCTCGTCCGGGGACGCTCTCACAGAATGCCAGCGTAGTAGCGTAGCAGCTTAATACTGCTGTGTTTCGTGTGGTGAGTGTAGAGATCAGGAGACCCTTCTTTACTGGGAACGAGGCATTCCATCTTAGTCCTCAGGAGTAACAACGCATCTGCGTTTTGATTCTTAATCGAGGATAGTCTATGGGCCACAGCAAACACTTACCATCAGGTGGACTGTGCGCTACCGTTTGTCATCCTAATTCTATAAAAAAAGATTATTACGAAATCGTTCGTCATTTTATCAGTTATGACGCAAGATTATACAATAAATTATTTCTTTTAAAAAGTAGAGGCTAAAAGATTTTTTTGTTTTTGTATGCAGAATAATCTTATTTTCATACGTTATATTATTTTACCTATAGAGTTATATCACCGTAATTAAGAATAATTTCGATGATGTTGAAGGAATTAAACGCTACACGCTGCTAAAGTATTTTTAAATATGTACGTTGCACAAGCCCTGTTAACACTAAATAAATCCCGCAGTCGCAGGCAAGTCTCACGTCTCGTCAGTTCTTGGAAGCAGCCGTGCTGACTTTGCGCTAGGCACCGGCTTCCAGTGGAAAAGGTTTGCATGCCTTCACTTCGCCACCCACCGATCGTAAAGTTTGCACGTAGATACCAAAAGTTTGCAAAACTAATCACGGTATACATTTGCCTATTTTAGATTTTATTTATATTTTTTATATATAGGCGGTTTATGTTTAAGGATATAAACAGCGGACGTAATGGCAATATGGCTTTTTCTACTAGCTAATGCCTTTAATAAAAAGTAAAGTAAGTAAAGTTACAGCCTATATACGTCCCACTGCTGGGCTCAGGCCTCCCCTCATTTCTGAGGGGGTTTAGGGCAAGGAAGTGTCCGCCGCGCTGCCCAAATGCGTGTTGACGAACTTCACATGTCTTCGAAATATTTTTTTTTCTTATTCCTCAGACATGCAGGTTTCCTCACGATGTTTTCCTTCACCGCCGAGCACGTGGTAAATCACCACTTAAAATTGCAATTAATAATTTCATTGGTGCCGGCGGGGATCGAACCCGGGTTACTCGCGTTCTGTTATATTTACAGCGAGCGTTAACCACTGAGCTACCACGGCCTTTAATAAATAAACCGTCTAATGGTGATGTAAGAATATCCACTACCCCATATCGTCCCGTGTGTGTCGTAAGAGGCGACTGAGGAAAATTAAAACCGGTGATGGGCGGCAGAATCTTCCTGATGACAACTCAAAATAATAAAGAACTGCAGTTGACAATCCGCTCTACAAGCGTGTCAACTATGGCAATATCCCCCCTATGAGGAAATGTATGGGGGGGGGGCTATGTTCAGCAGTGGACTTTTATATGTTGTAATGGAATGGATGGATCAAGGAACGCTTTTAACTAACCAACCCTCGCAACAACGTTCTTTTATAACTTTTTTGTCTTTTGTTTTAATTTTTTACTCGTACATAAAATAAGTAAAGATTGTACCAAATATTAAATCTTACTAAATCCATTTTATTCAAAAATAAATTCTAAACAAATTACTCTTATTTTTATTTGTCTTCGTCGTTTAACTTTAATATATTCCCGCCATAATTGTACATATGTATATGTAGAGCCTTCAGTCTCTCTTAAAACACTAAGGAACGGTAGCTCGATTCAAGAGCAGCAGTCGTCCGAGAGAGTTCCTTTCACCGTGTAATGCTTGAGGTCGGCGGCTACAAAAAAATAACAACTCAAAATCTTCAAGCTTTGACTTTCTTTTGAGCTATTTACTTGTATATTACTTATTTCTAACGAAATTTTATAAAGTTAGGTAGGAATCATTAAATTAAATTTATATAATATGATAAATTTCCAAACATTTCTTCAATATAACAGTAAAATTATTACCAATATTCATGATACTTTCATCAAACCAGAGTTCGGTAAACTATGATGCTAAGAAGTTGACTATTTGGTTCAACACCCCGCACAAGTGCATAGACCTCATTTCATAAAGAAAGGGCTTTGCCCGCATTTCATTGAACGGCTCTAGGTTTAAGGGAGCAATGACTAATATGTTCAGCTTTGTTTTAGGCTTAGTCTTTGATTTTACTACAATTTATAGTAATAGCATTTTATAGGTATTTATAAAACTCTAGGAGTCTGATATTAGACGAAGAATTTTTATTATTTCTTAGTATCCTTTTATTCTACTTAAGATAAACATTGTAAAAATATATTCGATCCATATCGTGATGGCAGCATTACAAAGTCATTTTAATATAGTATCTTAGGTTGGCTTAAATATGACGTTTACTACTTTCATGATGTAATATGTTAAGGAAACTGGATGGGTACGTTAGGTAACCAATTGGACCCTTACTTAACCTTGCAGCCTGGAGTGCAGAAAAATCTAACGATCCATCCAACGAAACTGAGAATCCACTAGCTTTTTGTAAAAATACGCTCTTATTAGTATACTCCGTCGCATCTATCACGGAAGGTGTTTCAATGAATCTTTCGAAACAATTCCAATCGCCAAATTTCACCATCGTCAATTGCGATAAAAACCACAAGTTCGAACCATATCATCATGATGGTCGGCAATCCACTCTGGGCAATCTTTAATACCACGTACGACCAATTTGTGTAATGTGCTAACAGCAATGGTTTTTAGGCGACTTGAAAATGACGAAAAGGTTCTCAATTCGGCTTCATGTTCATTTTTATATATATTACACGATAACTTCACCGATTGTGAATCACTTTCAATGTCTTTAATTAAATGTTTTATTTACTTTCAATAAAAATGAACTATTCAATAAGTAGTTTATACTTCTGGGTGGACCATTATATGAAACTGGTGGAAACTGGGTGATAACTCCACTCGAAAGGGTCTAAACATTTATTTTTCCATTGGCTATGTCTTATCACCGACTTTGGAAGCTATTATGTGAAATTATTTTATTCTACTTAGTTTTTTATAGGATAAGGTGACAAACGAGCACACAGTCCACCTGATGGTAAGTGATTGTCGTGGCCCATAGACACCTAAATGTATCCTCGATTACGAATCAAAATGCAGATGATCACCATACGAAACACAGCAACATTAAGCTACTATTTCGCGCTGGTATTCCGTGAGTTATTTTAAGTTGGCTTTTAATTTTTATTAAAAGCTTAATTTTTCTGGACAGACTTAGGAGAAGCTCCTCAGTCTGTCCAGAAAAGAGGAGAACCTGCTCTCTTCTTACAAAGTACCTGCTTTTCCACATTTTCCTCTGTTACTAAAATAAGAACACAAACACCGGTGGACTATTCACTAATTTTTTCGTAGTAGAATAAAAGAAGTAGTCTTGGTATCAATGTTGTTTCTTAGACAAGAAAGCATATAAACCAATTTTTTTTTATATATGGATATAAGCTAAATACAAATAATTTTATACGGTCAGTTTGGATCGGGAAAAATAAAAGAATGTGTCTATTATTAGAAGGGGAATGTTTGTTCAGTTTTAGGCAATGATATATATAGTATTATATAATTGGTTTTAGGACTATACATTATTTTTACACTTAATTTCAATGCTTGAAATTTTTATATTAAAATCGCTGACGTTTCGTTTTGTTTTTGTGTTTTTTATTAATTTCATGTAAACTAAAACCAAAAAAATAGGTAACGGAATAGTACCATTCACAACTTTATGAGTTATGTACCTATAAATAGGAAACACAACACCGGCCAACTGTTAGACATTGATGTAATATTCTCAGAATTGAAAATATGCTTGCATTTATATTACGAACTGATTTAGGAGCAATATGTCATATTTCATGTCGTTTAAAAGTAATTCTACGTGGTGCTTACTTAACTTTAATGATGACCTAAAATTGTTCTGTTTCGCTGCAATTATTATTAAGTTTTTATTGAACACTTGTTTTTACGCTAATGTACATACATGATCATTTTTATCTTGAGATGTACTTATATTGTTCAATATTTTAAGTTTTTCTACTTAAAATTATCATTATATAAAAAATAAAATAGAAAATAAAATAACATTATTCTTAAAATAATTTCATTTTAAAATGAATTCATAGGCAAGAGTACTGTTAGATCTTTTGCATACACGAAAGAGCCGAGCTAAAAAATAATTACTACATAAAGCCTTTGAAATTGATTGAAATGATCAGGTTTTAATGTGAGATATCTCATTTCCTAAACAGAGCGACAATCTCGCAGTGCCTGGCAGCAACTGAGGGTTGTGGAAACCGAAGATCAGAAAACGAAGTTCCGAAGACCGAGCAGTAGCGTGGATTGGGATAGGCTGAGAGAAATCCAACAGTGGACTAGACAAGTTGTTGTAAATATAAGTTTTTTTTTATTGATGCACATAATATAAAATTTTGTTTTTACCTAATACTTAAGCTCTAAATTGTTGTAATTTCAAAACAACAAAGACTAGCAAATAGTATAATTACGCCATTTTCCATAGAGGGTACTTTCTCTTTCAAATTGAACCAGAAGTTTAGGATTGTCTTAAAATTACCGCGTAGGCGATAGCGTTTAAGAATATCCTCTATAAGTGTTAATAATTATGAAAGACGGAAACACGCATAATTATTTTTTTCATAAATATTAAAAATAAATTTCTTTATATTACAAGCGTCTTTTGACCTCGTCGTGTCATTAATGAGAAGCGGAATAGATTTAAAACAATCATAATTTTGTGCGTGTGGTGGATATATTAGCAATAATTACGATTAACAAGAAGCAATAACACATAATTGGGAATACAAAGTAGTGTTTCACATTAACTAAATTAATTACAGCGGTAGCGGTAGTGGTAAGGTGCATCGCTGTGCGCTTGACCGGCTCAGCGGCCGCCAACTCCGCCGGAGTGGAGGCAAGGGCGCCGTGCGTCTTGCCGAAATTATTCGGGGCTCGCTGCACAATCGATTTTTCCCGCCCGATGCGGAAAATTCTTCGAGGCGGGGCGGGTGGCGCGCGGCGGGGGGAGGGGGGGTCAGATGTGGGGGCTCAGCGGTAGGGGGGCAGGCGGAGTGCAGCGGGGCGGTGCAACGCGCGCCGCCGTCCCGGCCGTCGGGCAGACAGTAGGACGGCGACGCCACTGTGAGTCGGTGACCACGGCGCGAGGAGCGCGCTCGCCGCACCGTGACATGTAGCGCGGCCGCAGCGCCGCAGCCCCGCGACCACTCCGCCGGTGCATCGCCGGTGGCGGCGCGCTGTTGCGCCTGCCGTCCGGCCCGACGCCCGCGCCGCTAACCCTTCCGCATCCGAGCTACCTGTGTCGCTTTCACTATTTCACCTGAAGCGAGCCCTCCAACCCGTCTGTATTGACGACCGTCGTCGGATGGAACCCGGAGTGCGCCGATTCGCATCAAGGTTAGATGAATATTTGAATGTGAGTGTTTGTGCACCTAACGCTGTCCGACTGGAGCGACGTAAAACACCCTCGTACTTCAGCCGTACGCGCACCCTTCCAGACGTCGTAACGCAATAGGTACGTTCGAGGACCGAGGAAATTATCTATGACTATTTTTAAATATATTTATGTTTTATTTAAAGCTGCTAAATTGATGCATGATTACAAATTAATGTTTGCAAACAATGTTTTGTCGGTCCGTACACAAATACAAAGTGCCTTCTTATGATGTATATATATAAAAGAATAGACATTCGCTGAGGGTAGTTAAGCAAATTTTCAGGGTCCAAATAATTTATTTTTCGCGCCTTATTCGTTTCCCTCTGCTGTACTGAAGTTCATCTCTACATCGAGATATATTTAAATATCTGAAATTTTGACCCGTTCAGTTGAAACACAAGATATGATATATATATATATATATATAATTAAGCATGCATTTATACTAACTAATAAGCATCTAACTTGATTTTGTTGTAAAATTGATTTTCTAAAATATACTTAGATATCGGTATTATCTACAAAATGATTTCTTTCATACAACCATTGCAGCCACTGCTGGTCATAGGCCTATCTCGTAGATTGGGAGAGGGAATATGTACCGGAGTTGCAATGCTTGACCGTCGGGTTGTCAATTTCAATAATTTTGAGTTTTTGTCATGAAGAGGATGCGGCTCATCTCCTGTTTTACTTTCTTTAGTCTCCTATTACGACACCCACGGAACCTAATGGGGAGGTGGTTTCTCTCATCATCTCTCTCTCTCATTCTGCCACCATACGATCGGTAAATATTATGTACATTTTATTTATATATTATATATTATGTAATACATTTATACATTATATGGGATATACGTATTTTCTGCCATTTAACTAAAGGAAAACCGACTATCACGTGCTCCTGCCCATTTAAACTACTAGTGTTTTGCTCCATGTGACTCTACCTGACGTTTCTTTTGTTTATATTTTGAAGATTCTTCCGGTAGGTGCTTACAAAAGAACATTAAATTCTTTTTAAATTATAGTTTTAATGTTTGCCAATATTTACTACGCGTAAGTTAGATCAGCTTCCGTTTGTAGTTGAGTTTCGGTTTTTCGTTTGAAAGTGAATTTGATTAAATATAGTTAAAAAATATTCAGTATGATCTTTTATGTCTTCATTTCAAGTTTTTGGACTTATCATCACTGTAAACTTAGAAGCCGTCGGCAGAATGGAATTCACATATAATTGAACTTTAGTCAAATGAAAATGCAACGTGCTTACATTTCACCTATAGGGGTTGGCAGAGACTAACTCTTCCATTTGGCACGATCCTGACACACCTCTCTCGTTTCTCTCACGTCCATATATATGCTTACGTATACATGATCATCGGTTAAGGGTACTCTTAATTTAAACCATCTTCAATATAACGCAAATTCGAATTTTGTTTTATATAAACAAAACATTCAAGACGCGTAAAAATGTTCGAATGGCCATTTAGTATTTGTAGATTCTTTGCTGATCTTACCAGCTATTTAGTTAGTTATTGAGTTAAACATTTTATACGCGGTATATACATATGTACGAAGAAATTTACGTGTACATATATACGTGTGATTTTTATTATATTTTTTTTTTACCATATACGCCGCCTTAAATGATTCATTTCATACAACATACACGTAAATACATTACTAAAATGTTACTGTTTTACTTAAAATTTCACTTCCTGATTTCGGAATTCAATTTAAAAATATCTGAAAACATAAAAACAGTGCATAAAGTAATTTTTTTGATGGACAATAAGTATATATACATTGAATAAAAATATTGTATTTTAATATAACGACCGAGATATGTGTTAGGCATTTTTAAAGAATACTACTTTGTATGCTATAACAGACAAATAGAAAAATTTATTAATTTATATGCATGACTGACCTCGTAGATTTATTGCATGCTTTATATAATATATACCTAAATATTTAAATAGATTATAGTCAACCGTGCATCGCCGCATCTCCTTCCTAATAAATGTTTGCATGCAAGTTCATATCGTTATAAATATTATTCTAAATTGCATGGAAATGTCAACGTAAACATTGATTTTTCTTTTTTCATTAAATTTCAACTTTACGAATACAAATATATAATATATACCAAAATGTTTTGCTGGGGTAGAATATACTTTAACTAATTTTTACCTTAACTAGACAGAGAACAAAATAAATTTTGAGTTTAGTTATTTAGTTATAGTATAAAAATTAATTCATTAAAATGCATGGTTTAAAAAATCATAACAATGACTATAAACTATTTAAAATTACTTATGTAAGTGATAATGCTTCATTTTATATAGCTTGTAGCCTTTATACAAGTAAAAACAAAGGATTTAGTATTTTAACTACTTCACTGTCTGCGAAAATGAAACAATAGTTAAATAATTGGAATATTCATATTACGTGACTCACTAGACAGTGAAATCGTTAAGTCTAGGTCTCCCTTTACCTCTAGAAGTCTCTTACCTATTTATATTTCTGTCGCCAAGAAGCAGTACACTCACTGCCGTGTTCCGGTATAAATAATAAGGAGGCAAGGTACAAAATTACAGGCGATAAGGTATTTCGTTTTAGTCCTCAAGTACAATATAACACGTCTGTAACCTTCACTGTCTAAAGCTGGTTGCAGCTGTGTCCAATGGATGTAGTAGCAAATCAGAACTCACCTGTGGACGAATAGCTTGTACGTCACTTCAAGATTGTGAAAAATTAAAACGTCAGAAACATTATATCACTCGTATACACGTATGCATATATGTATCTATATACAACACTATCATAATTGTTTCTATAATCATGTTATTATCATATTATTATAACTAAAATGCAAGTCTTCGTTGCGATCGTTTTATTCGATAACGTGCACCTTAAAGACTGTTTGGTGTATACGATTTTAAGACGTATATAATTCGTTGGTATATGTTTTAAACTTGTCGCGTAGTGGTGGCGTATAAGAACGCTCTACACCATATAGTCCCATCGGTCTCGTAACAGCAGCTTGGAAACGGAGGGAAACTGACACAGCAGACAGGGAGCAGCTTCTTCGTAATAACAACTTAATATAAAAAAATAAATATAAAAGGAGAAGATATCTGAAAGATAAGCTTAATATTGCATTTAATTCAAAAGTAAGTTATTATTTATGCCATCGAGTAAAGCTCGTAAAATGTTTGACGTAGTATAAATTAAAGACGATTGCTCTTTAAAAAATTTGGCACAACAAAGTGAAAGAATTATAGATAACGGCTATTTTTGTTACAACACGCTGACCTGCCTCACACTGTAATCAATTTCAGCAATTTTAGAGATACGACAATCTAAACGATATCTATCACAAGGTATAAATTATATTAGCATACATGCGATTTCCTTAACTAATATGGTATTCAAATTCGCTGTTCAGATTAATTTTGAGGTGACCTTGTCAAATACTTTTCGAAATTGATAGCATAATGTTGCTGATAGTGAAAATTCCCTTGCTGCTCAAGGTTATCAGTTGCAATACATAGCCTATCAGATAGTGGCTGAGTGAATTACAGATAACATTTTCGCATAATTCAGTTGGCGCACACACCAATGCGTGCACTGAAAATTGCCGCGAACGTAATAAAATATATGACTCTTGGGCGTCAAAGTAACATTGTTTTCCTATGCGTCGAAATAAATTTCTTGTAAAGATAGTTATGTTCATTTTTTTATAGGATAGGATGACAAACGAGCACACAGTGCACCTGATGGTAAGTGGTTACTGTGGCCCACAGACATCTACATCTATCCTCGATTACGAATCAAAATGCAGATGCGTTGTCATCCGTGAGGACTTAGGTTGAATGCCTCGTTTCCAGTAAAAAGGGTCTCCGGTTCTCTACACTCACCATACGAAACACAACAGCATTAAGCTGCTATTTGACGCTGGTATTCTGTGAGAGCGTGGTCCTTCCCCGGTCGAGCCGACCCATTCGTGATACACCTATACTACTAATATAACTGCAGCATGGCTCTACTACATAAAAGATATCATATACATTAGAGATCAAGATTTTGCCTATTCTAGTACATAGAAGTATATTCGCATGAAAAATTATTCTATCAAAGTTACATTTGTTAATTAGCGGCCTCTCCCATGGATTGCCTCAAAGGAGGATATTTGCCTTACACGCGGCGCTTGGCAATTGGGCTAACTACGACAGTTTTTATTGCTGTTAGGAGCTGCTACCCATATAGATTTTTCTTTCACCTCTTAAAGTAAATTGTATTTAAATATTCTGTGGTATTTATATTATTAAATAAACAGTGTAATAATTTTAATACATAGCATGATAATTTCAATAATACTGTCGTGAGATAGGAAGTGAGTTAATGAAAACAAATATGTTGTTAATAACACATAATAGAAACACCCTTATATTGTATGGACGATCGGACAACGGACAGTGGGATAGTTATAGTATAGTAATAGTTATACATACGTTTCTAGTCGGCCACTGATAAAACTTGACTCAAATATTTAAATAGCCTATATAATAATACTTTACACATAAAGAAAAAAATAAGGGTTTGTTTATAAGCTAACCTGTTTGTGGTATGAAACGTAAGTTTCCCCAGGTAACAACTATTTTAAATGCCAACTTTACCTGCGGTGCGACCTGCTAACCGATGAATGAACCAACAAAGAAAGTTGTCACTAGCTTTGTCCGAAGCTCACAAAACTGAAGCGAGTCTGTATGGTAAGGACATATCAAAGGTCAAAAAAGCCAAAAGTATTTCCAAAACCTTTTTTATATATAAAACTGTAAGTGGCTATGCAGTCCATTATACGTGGTCTAACACACGCCACGCTACAGCTATATTATAGTTGTAGCAAGTAAGGATCGGCTCGACCGGGGAAGCACCACGCTCTCACAGAATACCAGCGTAA